GGCAAAAAATCAATATTTCATTTTAATTGTATTTTAAACTTAGTATTTTGTATGGTTTGTCTGTTTTTTAATTTGCTGTAAGCCGCCCTGAGTCCGCTAGGAGAAGGGCGGGGTATAAATTTAATAAAACCTAAAACCATAAACCGTCTCAACAATAAGAACTTCCCTGCTGGTTTGGGCAAAGTCTACCTTAGTGCAGCATTTCGCTTCTTGTAATAACCAATCAGATGTTCCTGGAGTGCTCACGTACCCTTTCCCCTACAATTGTTGTCCTGCAGCTGGTTGGTAGGCTGCTCCTGATATGCTGCTAACACTGAACTTCATAAGTGATAGACCCTCAAAGTCTTGTCTTCCATGAATTTATCCAGACCCTACGACAAACTCTTTACAAAAAGGAGATACAGTTGGAAACTGACAAACAGAAAAGCAAAGAGGAATAGGGGAGTTTTCTGTGGTTCTTTAGCAAGGAGAGGAATAAATCAACTTCAGATGCTGGACAGTGGAGAATAAAGAGGGAGCAGTGATAGTGATTTGCCAGGCAAATGCCATGCTTGTAATTTTAACAGACAAATATGCCAATTACCTACATGGAATGGAAGAAATGACCTCAGGAAGCTTGAACAGGAGAATGCTCAGCTGTGACAAATGTAAGCCTATCCGCATCTGGTTGGAAAAGTAAAATGTGTACATATAAGGTTGGGGAACCTGGCTTAGCGGCAGACATGTGAAAAGGATCTGGAAATAGTATCATTTGTACAAGAGTAAGCAGCTGCTAAGAAAGGCAGTGCAATTTTGGACAGCATTTGTAGAATCATTTGCATGCAGAACATGGAAGGTAGTAGTGTTGACTGTATTTTGTGCTGTTTAGATTGCATTTGAAAAATTGTGTCTATTTCTAAGTTGGAATGAGTTCAAAGAAATGCTACTAGAATGACAAAAGGTCAAAAATCCAAGGGTTTAAAGGAGCTAGAGATTTTTAACTTGCAAAAGTAAAGGCTAAGGAGAGATAATGATACTAACAATTTATAACTATCTAAAACAGACATGTCAAACACAAGGCCCGGGGGCCGGATGCGGCCCGCGAAATGGTTTCATGTGGCCCGCGAAGCCATCCTGGAAACAGTGAGGGAATGGCCCCTACTGCCTTGGCTCTGGCCCAGGTCGGCCGGGAGCCAATGTACAATTTTGTGGTGGCCATCTATGCTGAAACGCATTCAGTCTTAGCTCCACAAGGCTGTCTGGAAACAGCGAAGAACCAGCCCCTGCCGCGTCGGCCCCGACCCCTGGGTACATGCTGGGGAGGTGTCACCCTTTGTGAGGAATGAAGAAATGCACCATCGCCTGGAAGTGGCCAGCAAATGGCCCTCGCCTACTTCACATATCCGGCTTGATGGGCTCCGGCGGAGGGGTTTCAGCAGGCAGTGAGGCTCCTCCAGTGGACCATGCCTTGGCACTTGACCCGGTCCCACCCCCTTCTGCCATAGACCCTCAGATCTGTCCCACTTCTGCCCAGCCCCCCACAGCACTCTTGAATCGAACGATGTAGAGCTGGCCATGCCCACCCAATAGGCCACACCCACTCCATCCACACCCACCCAGTAGGCCACACTCACCCTAGCCACACCCACCCAGCTCCCTCGAAGGCAACCGCAATGCTGATGCAGCCCTCAGTGAAATTGAGTTTGACACCCCTGATCTAAAAGGCCATTATACAGAAGAATGTGAACCTCGCATTCTAGCTAGAAGAGCTGCAAATCACAATAGGAATATCTGGGTTTTTTTTTAAAAAAAAATAGAGTTTATTAGAAAATACAAACAAAGATATGAACATAGATATATATTTGGCTAAAAGAAAAGAAGTAAGTTTCAAAAGAGGAAAAATGATCAGAGGGTGATGGGTAGCATCTAATTAGGCTTCAGAAAAGAGATAAACGTGGAAGGAAATCAGGTGATTGCCTTGAGTACAATAAAATAAAATAAAAGCCTGACACCACAGTATTTACTTAACTATTGTTTATTTAATGTTCCTAAATGTCTATGTGGGTTAAGGTTCCTATTTCCTGACAAATTTCATCACAACATGGAGGGGATCTGTAGTCTATTCTTTCCTTTTCCTACAGGCAAATCCAGCTTCATAATGTACAGTGTAATCTACTCCTTGCTATTTAACTTCAGGGAGAGAGAAAATGTTCTTGTTCAGAGGTTTGATTAACCGTCTTCCCTTTTTCTTGCCCTTTAGAGTTAGATGGAATTGGTCTATAGGTGTAATGGTCTGTGAGAATGTGTTTGGGAGACAGGAGGAAAAGCCTCAGACTAGACTAGGGGTAGGCAACCTTGGCTCTTTTATGACTCGTGGACTTCAACTCCCAGAATTCCTGAGCCAGCTATGCTGGCTCAAGAATTCTGGGAGTTGAAGTCCACGAGTCATAAAAGAGCCAAGGTTGCCTACCCCTGGACTAGACAATTGTCAGATAAGGGGCAGCTGAGACCACAGAACCAATGGAGTAGAAGGGTTAGAAGGAACCTTCCCTAGTTTCTTGGACTGTAAAAGGTGGGGGGGGAGGGGGGAGAGAAGAGGTGCATTTTCAGACCTGCAAGATTCTGTTAATGTAACCTTACAATAAAGTGAGAGTAAGTATTTCTGGATAGATCTTTTGCCTGGACTACCTTGCAAGGCTGCCAATAGATTAGTTTTTGGGTATGTTATGATTGAATGGGAATCATTGCTAGAGGTACCCTTTCCATTAGAGAGATGGTCTTTTTTTTGGTCTCAAATATGGATAAAATATAGAGCGTATTTACCCATTTCCATTTGAGCATTATTTCTAGATACTCTGAAACCAGTAATGCGTCATCTAACCAATTTGCATGGAAAATCCATGTTGTGATAACTCCCTGAGCAATAAACAGTACACCAAGTTATTTTCAGAGGCAATAGCATCATTTCTGTTGGGATATTTATTTTTTGTGTCTATCCCAACAGGGACTGAACTTAGAACTTTCTGCATGCAAAGCATGCACTCTGACATTAAGCACTTCTTTTTTTCTTTTAGTGTGCTTTGATATACAGGCTGAAACTGCATTGTGAATTGGTACATTGCAATCTATCCAGATGAGTCCAGCTTAAAGCTGAAAATGATTTTTAAAAAATCCAAATATTGTGTCATGCTTTGCAGTTGATAGTTAGATTCATTAATGATGACTCCACAGTACTGTATTTGCCCAACTGGGAGGTGAGCCCACCCCCTTCTGACAAATAATTACCTATGAATTGGTAGGTAAGTGGGGGGTCATTTTACATTCCATGAAAAGAAAATACGGATGTAGATTCAGTGCTGTAAATGCTTTGGAAGATAAGTTTGAAAATTATCCCTTGTTGCTTGCCTGGTGAAATTTCACTCCATTTATGTTGTCTAGATATAATGTCAAGTGGTTGATAAATTGAAGCTCCTTGAAAAAAAAAGAGTAAATGAGAATAAACAATGATTTAAATACTCCATTTAAAATCTACTTTCTTCTTAGATAATTCCATGTTTGGATTCTTCAAATTACTTACAACAGGATTCTGCATTCTGATCTGAACTGGAAAATGTTTTCCTTTCATTAAAAGGAAACTATTTAAGCAGAATGTAAACCTTTAACAAAATGTTCTAGGCTAATTATTTAAACCATCCATAATGGATCCAAGAGAGTAAAATTCTCTACTGATCTTTTCAACCCATTTTTGCTAATTCTCATTTTCTTTAATTACTCAAATTGTCAAGAAAAAATCCTCATGATTTCTTTTTTCAATGGTTCCATCAGATTCTACTTAGAATTTGTCTTTTTTTTATTATATATTTTAGGTATTTTTATTAGCTGGAAGGAAACGGAAAAAGAGCAAAACCTCAAATTACCTCATCTCCATTGACCCAACAGACCTGTCACGAGGAGGAGAGAGTTTCATTGGAAAATTAAGGTAAACATCCACCTTTAAAATGTCTGCTAAAGTGTGAAATGGTTTGAGATTTAAAGCAATTCAAACCTCTTGATATTTGTAGACTTTCATAGTCTCTGTGTATATAGGTAATAGGGAATAACCTCCATACTCATTAGCACTGATGATATTGCCTAGTTGAATAATGAAACAGCTGCAAGCAAATAACCAAACTTAGAGAACACCAAGGACTCCGCAGACTTGAATTTCCAGTTTTAGTCTAAACCAGTGTTTCTCAACCTTGACAATTTTAAGGCATGTGGACTTAAACTCCCAGAATTCCACAGCCAGCATTGCTGGCTGTGGAATTCTGGGAGTTGAAGTCCACATGCCTTAAAATTGTCAAGGTTGAGAAACACTGGTCTAAACTGTTGTTATACAACACCTATACAACACTGGCTCAGGAATTCTGGGAGTTGAAGTCCACAAATCATAAAAGCGCCGTAGTTTCCCACTCCTGGTTTAGGGGAAACACAATTCCAGCCTTCATGATAATAAATAAGGTACCATATTTAGTACTGGACAGTGATTACTCTTTTACTTCAATAATAGGTCAAATCTCATGGGGACTAAGTTTACAGTTTACGATAATGGAGTTAACCCAGTGAAAACGACATCGAGTTTGGAGGCAAGTAACCTACGCCAGGAGTTAGCTGCTATTTGCTATGTAAGTAGTTTTCCTACGCAAAAAAAGCAAATATGTATTAGTAGAATAAATAACAATTGTTGGATTGAGTATTAAAATACTTCAACATGTTTATACTTCCAGAATACATACTATTATGAATTCTACATAAATAATAGTTACTGCATACATATGCTCTTTGCATCATGGATTTGCATCTTCACACTTATATCTTAGGGGTATATTAGTACCATAACAGCATAATCTTTGCATTAGAATTAATATTATAAAATGACAATCTGGTATTACTTTCATTTTTAATTTCCAACTTTCATTTCTTTCCTGTTGTGTTTTTTATACTATGGATAGGAATTGCCTTTATTTGTATGCTACTCTACGTACTTTCTCCAGTGAAAGAACAAAATATAATATCTTTTAAAAAGAGGCCATAGAACAATCATTCTTACAAAATAAGATGTGCAAAGGGCCAAGCAATATTAAAGGAATTATTTTCATACAGGATGATGGATATCTTGGTCCAGCCCCAAATGGAATTACTGAGGAAATGCAATATGTAGGCTGATCCAGTTGGTTTATTCCTGTGCTAAGTAATATTTAATATGATATGTATCTCCTCCTCTGCCCTCATTTCCAGGAATACGAACCATGAGTACCACCGTGAATGAAAAATAGATTGAGCATGTACTTGCTTTCTGTATTAGCCTGGCAGCATGATGATGCTGTTTAACATGGCATTGTATGAAGCATAGTTCAGTTTTAGCCAAAGCAATGAATAAAAGGCTAATAAATACTGTGAAATTAACCATTCTGTCACTTTGCAAGACTGCTCTTTTCCTTCAGCTGCATGGATTTGGTGTTGTTCAATAAGGGGTTCTTGGTATTATTTGTGGAGTTACCTTTGAAGTCACCATCTGTAAAACATCTACAGTTTACAGTGCACCAAATCGGATGTGTTAATACTGGTTTTAAGTCCAGCGTAATTAAAAATGGTAAATATACCCATTAATTCATGAAAGTGGCTGGATAAGTCATCTGGCTACAACAAACACCCTGGAGTGACTTTTCCCATTGAAGCCCTGGGTTTCCCTGAAGCAAGAATGACTCGCTGATATACAAGATACCAAAATATACACACCACATGCTGTTAGCTCATGTTGATCACTTGTCTGTGATCATAAAGTTATACTAAGAATTAAAATAAATTCTACAGAAAGTCCCTGTCAATAAAAGTCTTACAAAAACTTCTTTAACCAGATTTCTTGAAAAGGAGAAGGAATTAGGTAACAAGATCTGGAGAATTAATACTTTCAGTTTAACACTGCAATTATTTCTTGATTTGCTAAGCTGGGATCTTCATAAATATCTTGTTAACTTGAGGGACAGGAATGATGACTAACCTTGTTCTTGATAATGGAGGAATATCTAGATGCCCTGAGCCAGCATTATTTTGCAAATAAAATAAACACCATCTTCCATTTCCAGTCTGTCAAAGGCTAAAAGAAAATTGGGATTCTTTGCTACAGATAATCCTTTCAGACAGTTTAAAGTATTTCCTTTTCCTCAAAATATTCAAGATAATCTAATCTTAGTGAAGAATAATAGAAATGAAAAACTACCAAAGTAAAGCAACTCGTATACTTTTTAGGTCACATACTTTAGGGTTGCTTGGTATCAGGAAGGTTTCTAAAAATATTCCTGGGTACATTGGAGAAAAACCTCATTACAGATTCTTTTTTAAACCGTGCTCAATTGGAGTGACCCAGGATCAAGAGGAACACAAAAGCACAGGACCCTGGGCACTGGGTTTCTTTATCTCTCCCTAGAAGAGTTGGGGAGATGTTTTATTTTGTGAAAACAAACATATAAAACTAATATGTGTGTCTATATTGTTTTATTACTATATACTATAGTATATACTATATTATAGTACTATATTACTAGATGTTGAGACTCTAGAAAGATGTTGAGACTCTAGAAAGAGTATAGAGAAGAGCAACAAAGATGATTAGGGGACTGGAGGCTAAAACATATAAGGAATGGTTGCTGGAATTGGGTATGTCTAGTTTAATGAAGAGAAGGACAAGGGGGGACATGATAGCAGTGTTCCAATATCTCAGGGGTTGCCACAAAGAAGAGGGAGTCAAGCTATTCTCCAAAGTGCCTGAAGGCAGGACAAGAAGCAACAGATGGAAACTAATCAAGGAGAGAAGCAACCTAGAACTAAGGAGAAACTTCCTGACAGTTAGAACAATTAACCAGTGGAACAACCTGCCTCCAGAAGCAGTGAATGTTCCAACACTGGAAGTTTTTAAGAAGTCTGGACAGTCATTTTTCCGAAATGGTATAGGGTTACCTGCTTGAGCAGGGGGTTGGACTTGATGACCTCCAAGGTCCCTTCCAACTATTATTATTATTATTATTATTATTATTATTATTATTATTATTATTATTATTATTATTATTATTATATTACAATGACAATTACTATCAAGACAACTATATTCTATACTACTATACTACTACTATTGAATATACTGTACTCTGTACTTATATATTATATTCTATAGTATTACTAGCATGCATCAATGTTTTTTTCTTAAGCCTATACTGTCTTAAGTCCCTTCTCTCTGAAATTTCTTCTCCTTTTACTGGCTGGCATGTACAGCTCTTGCGTCTTTTTTACATTGTGCTTTGTGTTGCTGGGCTGCTGTACTTCCCTCCCCCTCCACGCCCCCCTCTCTTTTGGACTATCCACTTCTTCTGAAGGAAAAACCGTCCTTTCATTTGGCTGCTGTACTCAGTTTGCTGGTGGCTTTAGAGCCGAGAAACACATGCCTCCTGTCACACCTGTGTCAAGGTTGCAGCTTTATTGGCAACTCTGCCACGCTGATGCCGGTGAGAAGGCTCAAATGAGAGGAAAGGAGAAAGCACAGCTTTTTTTTCAAGCAGCTTGCTCTTGCTTACACATACACAATAAATTCCAATATTCTTTTTAAAAGATAATAGTATAATAGCACTGGTAGTAAGAAGAACTGCATTATGCATTTTAATAAAACCTTTTCCTATTCATACAGAAAGTTTCCAAAATTCATCCCATCTTTACAAATTATTCTATTGTAACTGACCCATATCCATTGAGGGTTGAATTGTTGATTAAATCCTAGATGCAGAGACCTTTTATTATGTTATTTAAGTAAAAGCAAAATTGAGCAAAATTGCTTTCATTTTCTTGTTGCTGTTGGTCATTAATTAAATCCTAGATGCAGAGACCTTTTATTATGTTATTTAAGTAAAAGCAAAATTGAGCAAAATTGCTTTCATTTTCTTGTTGCTGTTGGTCATTAATACAACTGCCACGGCACCTAATGGTCACTGTCAAAATTGCAGTGGTAGAGAAATTCTAAATAGATCATTAGAAATACAATCGCATTTGGAAGGAGAAACCATCTGTTGTTGATCTCTTGGCCATTTAAATACGGATCAGTTTCATAAAACTGTTATTTGAAGCTCAGCTCATGGTTAACCAACTGGCTACAATGCTTTTAATTTTCTGTTGAAAAGAGTGTAATAACAAAAATAAGCAGATGGATTTTGCAGTCCTGACACATTCAAATCTGCTTCAGATAAGCAATAAGCAGAATCTGAACACTAACTGCCAGTTGACAGAGGAGGGAATTATGGAACAAGATGTACCCTGCCTAGACTCCTTTACTACACTAAGTAGTAAATGAAGAAAGAAGCATGAATCCTTCCCCTGCAGCTTTCCCCTCTTATTTTTCCCATATTTTTCAATATGGTGCTCTTCTAAGATATAAAATTAGGTGGCTAAGAGCTGAGCCCATCTTTCTCCTACACCAGGGGTATCAAACTGCTGACCTACCGGCTGGATGTGTCATGCCAAAACCATGCCCACCCCACTGCCTGAAATGGGAAAAAAGTCATGATACGTCGCGACATGCCACGTGACGTCACGAGTTTGACACCCATGTGCTACAGCATCACTACATAGGCAACCACTATTTTTCAACTTTGGCTGATAGATAGATGTAATGCTAGGTGCCCCCCCAAGTGTTTTGGATTTTAATTTCCAGAATGCTCATGTGGTCACCTTAATTAGAGACCATCAGGCTGAGGAACAATGCTTTAAAGTGACTTACTTTAGTAGATTACCATGGCATGTATCGAATACATTAGAATGATCAAAGCACTATATAAATGTTTAAAGTGCTACATTATGTTGTTGATATTGCTGCTGTTGAAAATAAATTATTAATCTCACAACTAAAGTGTAGCCAGTACCAAATTCTGTGCATATTTATGTTTTCCTTCCTTCCTTCCTTCCTTCCTTCCTTCCTTCCTTCCTTCCTTCCTTCCTTCCTTCCTTCCTTCCTTCCTTCCTTCCTTCCTTCCTTCCTTCCTCCCTCCCTCCCTCCCTCCCTCCCTCCCTCTTAGACAAACGCCTATTTCAGTATTTTTATCGTATTATCTTAAAACAGGAAACAAACGTTTTGGGATTTAAGGGTCCTCGTAAAATGAGTGTTATCATACCCGGAATGAATATGGATCATGAGAGAGTTTCCATCAGACCACGGAATGTAAGTCAGTCACCATTATCTCAAAAACCATAAGCTAGCTCAACCAATTTTAAGGTTGCAATTACATGTCAGTCCTGGGAGACATTGATTTTTTAATTTCCTTCTTCATAGCCCAGAATTCATTTACAAATATTTTCCTAGTCACTGAGGACAAATTCAGAGAATAGGAAAAAAAGGGAATTGAATACAGAGGGTGGGCAGATGCTATAACACTATCCCGGATTCTATCATAACTTATATTCTTTGCAGTGGGAAAGAACAGTGTTTTTTTATTTTTGTTTTAATCTGAAAAAAAAATGTTTTTAAAAAATAGAAAAGTCACCCCATCTCTTCTGCTTGGATTCGTTATTAGTTAGATTTACGTTCTGTCATTCCTCCAGGAAGTGAAAGAAGCCTAAATTGTGTTTTTGCTCTGCTAATGATTTCTCCATAGCAACCCTGCGAGGTAGATTGGGTTTTTAATGCCCAGTTGTCATGTTAAAATGAGACTGGCAGGTCTTTGGGGTTCAACCTCTCATTCAACCCAGAGGGAAAACTAGAGAATACTACTCAGACTGCTGCTAACAACAATTGTTATCATTGTTATGACTAAAAGATTTGTCAAGCTAGGGAAAAGAGATAGGAGATGAAAATAATACTTATCATAAACTAGAAAAAAATACCAGGTGAGGTGGGACCTGTGGAAATCCATTCCCATATATTGTATAAGCAATTACAGTGATCACTAGCTTCCCAAATTAGTGTATCTGAGATCTATGAAAGATAGATATTAATCATTTCTCTATCGCAGATACTGCATATGCTAATTTGTAGTTATTAGCAGTTATTAGATCTGTGATTGGCCACAGATCATTTGATTGGTTTGTATTCATTGGATTTATGCATGTTGACTTTTAACATGCCATTGTCAACAGCAGGAGTTGATTTGCTAAAAATTGTGTTCAGAGCCCTGTGCTTGGTATCAAGGTTCGCACAAGCTCTTCTGCAGACAGTACTAAAAGATTGCTAAAAGTTGTATTCAGAGCCCTGTGCTGAGTGTCAAGGTTTACACAAGCTCTTCTGCAGATAGTACTGGGGTTACATGTTCACACCGACAGTCAGTGTCCTTCTGGCAGAAATGCTGAGAATGGAGAGAAAAACATAAATGAAAGCACAATATATGTAGCTTTTTTAAAAAAAAATTGCACGTTTTAAAAAGTGAACCAGGAAAACCATCCGAAATACAAGTTTATTCTTCCAATTTTGCTTTTTCTCTGGCTCCTGTTGCCCACCCTCCTACGCTGGTTCTTTAGGCCAGGGCTTTTCAATCTTTTCACCCTTTCTACCACGTTTAGGATATGGCAATATCCGAATACCACCGGTCACCTAGCAAGGTCTCAAAAACTTGATGCCCCCCCCCAAAAAAGGAAAAAAGTGATGAAGTACAGGTAGTCCTCGACTTACAACAGTTCTCTTAGTGACTGTTCGAAGTTACAATGGTACTGAAAAAAAGTGCCCCCCAAGCCACAGCCGAGCAAGACACCTGCCTGCCCACCCGGCGGCGCTCTTCCTCCTGTCCGAGGTTTTCATTGTGACCATTTCTGTTGAGCATTGGCAGTGGGGGTGGGGTGGGTGTTTGGTTTTTATTCCCCCCATCTGCTGGGTGGTTGCAGCATGTTTTGGTCACTTCACATGACCCTGGGACACTGTGACCGTCATAAATATGAATCAGTTGCCAAGCATCTGAATGTAAACCACAAGACCCTGGAGATGCTGCAACATTCCAGCTGATGGGGGTTTTTCTGGGCTCAGCAGAAGCGCCAGGATCAGCGCCGAGCTCCAGCTGGAGCCTGGCGCTGATCCTGGCGCTTCCACTGAGCCCTGACAGCCCCGAAGAAGCGCTGATCCTGGCGCTTCCACTGAGCCCTGACAGCCCTGCACCTCCAGCCATCTCTCGCTCAGGCTTGTGCGGTGCTGCCACCGGTTCAGCTCGTTCCCCTCCCCCGCTACCACTTTTCTAGGATGGTCGCATACCACTTGCCAGGTGCGAATGTACCACAGGTGGTACCCGTACCACTGGTTGAAAAGCCTTGCTTTAGGCTATTGTGCTTGTTCTTTTGTAAACCAAAGCCTGAGGACATAAGTCTGTCCGGGGATATCTTAGCATGTTCAGTCTATGCGTGAGGAACAGGGAGAGGACCTTCTTCTCTCCTAGATACAATGGTAATATAAGTGAACAGATTATGTTCAACATTGTCTGCTGCAAGGAGTCTTCACAGGTTATGGATGCTTCTGTCTGATCTGAAGCACTCAATTATCCAGAGTTGAGGATAATATGCTGCAGTCATGCATACAACAAAGCTCTCTGTTGCCAGCAGTCATGCAGTATCGAATAGAAGACCTTCTCTTCTAACACCAGAGTAACTACTTGCTACAAGGAACTGTTTACCGCTACTTGAAATCTGCACTGAAACTATGAAAGTCCTTCATGAAGAGAGCAGTAGCAATACAAATATTACTTCTTAAAATCTGAGACAGTGCTATCCCAGATCTGTAAAGGTTTTAAGGTTTCATTCTTCTCATATCTTCTAATAAAAAGGTTAAAATGGAGTTATTGGAATAAAGCAAATACTTTCTTGGCAAATATGGAAAAATATCTTGACATATTCATATATATTTATTGGGGACTGTGTCATTTTTATTCTTTCAGTTCTATATTTTTGCTTCAGCCTGAAAGATATAATTAAGTTCTTATTCTTCCTCAACATTGGTAAGATAGGTGTCACTGCCTCCCATTAAAATTAGTAGAAATGCTTAGAATATATATGTTTGTGTAATGATTTAATACTGGGTCACCTGCAAATCTGCTTATCCATTTGCTCTGCCATATAGAAGGTCCCAAATGTAATCCAAAGCTTGGCCCTCTAGAAATATGAACTTCTACAACAGGATCTGGGAAGTGTCTTGGCATGTCTGTGATTTCCTTGGCAGGTTTTAATTTTTCTTCTCTGTGTATGTATATGCATGACTCATCTGTTTATCAAAATATACCATACTTTAAACACTCTTTATCAAAAACTGATTCCAAACTAGTTTATACCACTTTATGTTATAAGCCTAGAATGCAATAGAGTCAGTGTTAGTGTTTGTTAGTTGATCTCAGTATGCTTCCCAATGACAAATGGAGTTAGAATAGGATGTGGGTTCTGACAACCTAAGCAATTGATTTGGGAGGGCCAGGGATTTTATTTTAGGGTGGTTTTGAACACTGGAATGGAAAATTGGTATATATACAAAGAGCGGAAGATAGCTTTTCGGTGGGAACCCAAACTTCTCTCCTTGGTTCAAATAGGAACATGAAACACTCCTCTCAAGATGGCAAAATAAAAACACAGAGAGTGTCATTGAGCTGCACAACAAAACTCCAGTCTGGAACGATGATACACAGTCTTACGTTTTAAATTTCCATGGTCGTGTAACACAGGCCTCTGTGAAAAACTTCCAAATTATTCACGACAATGATCGTAAGTATGGCTTCTTTAATTAAATTTGTTGGAAACAGATTGCTTTTCTGAAATCTAATTAGATCCTTTGTATAATGATATCAAAGAGATATTAGGTTTCCTCAAACCAAAATTCATGTTGTATTCCTCTTACTATAGTTTCCTGTTCTCAGATGTTGATAGCATATCTATGAAGAGGACAATTCGGATGATTGTCATTCATTTGTTTTGATGTTTTGATGAAGTTTCTGGCAAGGGTGGAATCTAAGGCAGTCTTTTCTAATGAGTTATTTTCAATTATTTTCAGATTAAAGCTCTCATCTCTGTTCTTCTGACTTGAAGTATATTCCATCTATATACTCAAGGACTTGGGGTTGAGCTAGCAGGGGCAAAGAAGTAAAATGAAATAAAATATGACTAGCTAAGGCACTAATAGCTTGTTCTCAGAGTAGCACATAAATAGCTTCTAATTTAATTTACCTATTGCATAACACCTGCCACATAATACCCCAGACTTAACGACTTGTCAATAACAAAAGACAAAAAAGTCCGGATAATGGACGTGGCAGTATTTCTCTATTTATATATCAAACTTTTTAACTGCCCATCATCCTCATAGAGAGGCTTTGGGCAGTGTACAATTTAATCACCTGGAGATAGCAGAATAGAAGAGGAAGAATTGGAGAAGATAACAAAATACAAAGACCTGCAGACAGGAATAGAACAACTGTGGCAAAAGAAAGCAAAGGTAGCACCAATAGTATTAGGCACCTTGCGTGCAATCCCAAAACAATTGGAGCATCATTTGAACACTATCAGCAGTGACAAAATCACCGTCAGTCAATTGCAAAAGGCAGCTTTATTCAAAGCAACTTACGTCCTGCCACAATACCTTTAAGATCATAAAACATCCACATCTGTCTATCCCAGATCATTGGGAAGGATTTGATAGGTGGATAAAAATGCCAAATCCAGTCTGACTGTGCGACAAACCATAATATAATAATTATTTCTGAGAGAGGTGAAACCTTTACAATGGAGGCATAGTTTCTGGTGGGGGTGCATATTTTTAAAACTTGCCCTCTTTAATTCAGTCTATAAAGATATACTAATGCCCATTGTTATCAGATGTAGTTTTGATGAGGTTTTGACCCCGATCATTTAACGCGGGGGCAGATGGTGTGCCTTCACCATTCTTCTGGTGTGCCAGAAGAAACATCATCAGTCTGATGAAAGCCCCCCCCCAAAAAAAAGCCTGCTTAGAAAGTAGTTCTTCTCTTCACTGGTTCATTCACCACATCCTAACTTTGCTCTAAGCGCTTGTTGGCAGGCTTCATATTTGTCCTTTCAGCAGTGTTGGGAGGCAGCTATTTGGGGGATCTGCCAGCTTAACAATATGGAAGCTGAAGGAGGAAGGGAAGGGAGGAAAAAGGGTCGCTTGCTGAGTCTTTTTCTGGCACTGCAGCTGTCTTCTGATTTTGTTCTATTCATCCCACCGACGTTTTTGGATCCTTTTCTGTTTCCTGGCTTATAAAGAATGCCATTTATAAGGATGTCTCTGCCATGTGCGGAAGTGCCAGATACCACACAGCTGGGCAACATTTCTTTTTCTTTTTTTTCCTTTTTATCAAAACATTTCTTTTATCTATTTTAAAACATTCAAGGAACAAAATAAATGAATTACATAAAACAAAACAAAAAAAAGTAAATAAGCAGAATTTACAAATGGTCATGATATTTAAAATTCAACATTTATGGATGAAACAATTCATGATTTTATTGATGAAATGATTTAAAGTAGACTGATCATACCTTAAGAAATAATTGACGATCACCACTAAAATTTAGATTTATAAAGGTGTCACCACTATTTATTCCTAAAATAAATGCACTTGATCTTGTGGAAATGAAAATGTTTTTTTTAAAAAAAAAAATCAGTAAAAGCAATATTAATCCTAAATTCTCTACCATAGTATCTGGTGATTAAAATACAAACATTAAAATAGCTTCTGGTTACTATCTTTACATCAAATATTTCCCCCTTAAACATAGTCTAAACATCTGAATTAGCTTAGTTGCGTGATTTGTAATATAAAGGCAAGCCCTACTTGCTTCATTTTAGTCAAACTTTAGTTCTGAATGCACACTTTTAATTTTGCTGTGGCTTCATATTCCCCAGCTGCCCTGCATTTCATTGCTTTCTGCAGAACACTTGTGTCCTAGTTCAGATTTCAGCTAATTTAGGAGATACACATTACTTCTTTTTTTCTAATTTTACAGTTTGGTTTAGTACTATTCACATAGTCTAAAACAGCGGTTCTCAACCTGTGGGTCGTCACCCCTTTGGGGGTCGAACGACCCTTTCACAGGGGTCGCCTAAGACCATCGGAAAACACATAATTACATATAATGCTTTAATTATGTTCAATTTGTTACAATGAAAATACATCCTGCATATCAGATATTTACATTACGATTCATAACAGTAGCAAAATTACAGTTATGACGTAGCAACGAAAATAATTTTATGGTTGGGGGTCACCACAACGTGAGGAACTGTATTAAAGGGTCGTGGCATTAGGAAGGTTGAGAACCACTGGTCTAAAACATGTTAAAAGCCACATTGATGTATCTTTATGTTTCTTTATTCTTTCAGCCGACTACATAGTGATGCAGTTTGGCCGTGTGGCAGAAGATATTTTTACAATGGATTATAATTATCCTATGTGTGCAGTACAAGCCTTTGCTATTGCACTGTCCAGTTTTGACAGCAAGCTGGCTTGTGAGTGAACAAGTTATGCCTAAACTTCACTACAGCCAAAACCATGTGCCACTGGAAGAAGAGAACATACATTCCACATTTTCTGTAGTGTCATCAGTGGTCACACATCCTTATGAGGCAGGTAAATTTTGTTTTCTGAAGGACCAACCTTTTTTGATGAAGAGAAAATATTTTAAAAATTCAAGACTTTCAGGAATGTTTTCCCCGCCTATTCTCTATTTTTCTGGAAGTGGCATCAGAGCTCTATAAATAGAAGTCCTACATTAATGTCCTCAGTTCTGTTATAAAGATGCACATAATTGTGGCTTAAGTGAAAACACCATTGGGATCAATGATGTCTTTTTTTAAACCCATAAAAGCTATGACGACACAGATCTAGTTTTGGATTTAAGACATATTCGGAGGCTGTCGGCATACCTCAAGATTTCATTCACACCTTTGAGAATTTTGTGTCACCCATCTTAAGCATAAGACCGCGAGAAAGATGCAAACTTTTTTCCAAGAAAGAAGCAAGGTAGCATTTACTCTCAAAGCCAAGACTGAAATTGATTTGTGATAATGTTTATGTGGGAAGGAATCTGACAAATTTTTAATCCTGATGGGGAATGGAATGGGGGGGGAGGGGAGGGAATCGGAAGCACAAGTTAATATTGCACAACTCACTTGTACTCCAAGGTGTTATTTTATAGATTGTGTTTTAAGTCTCACTTTCTGATGTCAGTTCACGCTTATTGTTAAGAAGGGAAGTTTGATCATGCAAAGTCACCAAATGGATGGGAGAAATGATGCTGAATCATTACACTAACTAAAAGAAAGAGAAAATGTGCTTCAAACCTGTATGATGTCTCAGGTCCCATGTGTGGCATGTTCTGTCAAAGAAAATTTTTCTGTCTTTTACCCTGGAGAACTGCTGCCCTTTGGGTAGACATGAATGCTCTAGAAAGGTGAAGGGCCGACATTGAATAAAGTATCTGCATCTGCTGTAAATGAATTGAACGACATCTAAGTCTTTGAATAAACCTGTCTTGATAGAGCTGCCTCTTTTAAGAAATTGTTTAGAAGATAACTGGAACTTATAGTGAACGGTATTTGCTCATTTTCTGCCCCAAAAGAGATAGTCCTTGACTTACAATCATTCATCTAGTGACCGTTCGAAGATACGGAGACTTATGACCAAGTCCTTGCACTTATGACATTGCAGCATCCCCACAGTCACGTGATAAACATTTGAGCGCTTGGCAACTATATTTATGACAGTTGTGTTGTCCCAGGGTCATGTGATGGCCATTTTCGACCTTCCCAGTTGGCTTCTGTCAAGCAAAATCAATGGGGGGGGGGGGAAGCTGGATTTGCTTAACAACCACACGATTCGCTTAAACAATTGCAGTGATTTGCTTAACAACTACAGGATGGAAAGATTGTAAAATTGGGCACCAGCTTACTTAGCAGTGGAAATTCTGGTCCCAATTGTGGTTGTAAATCGAGGACTAACCTGTACTGAACAGTTATATGCAGAGAAAGCTTCCAAAATCAGAAATTAATTGCAACGCCTTTTTGATTTTAAACAGACGGGTTGAATTAGAGCTTTTATTTTGTTGGTGCTTTGTCCCAAAGCAAAGGGGCGCTCCACCAGGGTACCCCTTCTCAAAATAATATTGGTAGCAAAAGAGAATATTACATAGATAGCAATTTCTACAGCCCCCGATTATACGGACTTTCTTACTGCAGAGGCTTCTTTAAATTTTGGGGCAGATTTGGAGGACCTAATACAGGGGTGGGCAACCTTGGTCTTTTATGACTCGTGGACTTCAACTCCCAGAATTCCTGAGCCAGCATAGCTGGCTCAGGAATTCTGGGAGTTGAAGTCCACGAATCATAAAAGAGCCAAGGTTCCCTACCCCTGGCCTAATAGAAACACCTGGAGAGATAGAATCAGTAAAGATGGCCTCATCTCTTCAGCCAGAACAAAACCTCTGCTGGATCAAACTATTCCTACTACCGGTAATAAGAGAGAGATGCTTCTATCTGTGGAAGACTTTTTCTGGCTATAACTACCGGTACGTATGCATGTTTGTGCCTTTTTACGAACAAATCATTATATTTCAGAATGCAAACTCTGGCTTATCTCATTTTCTTGTTTTTGGAAACATAAGTGTACTAAACATTTGAAATCAGAATCCGCTTTGAAGGGGATCTGACCATTTAGCATTAGTTTTGTGACTGTTTCCCACAATATGATATTGCACGTGACTGGTATACAGTACATAAGATATACAGTATACTAAGACTCGGCAGTATCAGATTTGAGGGGGACATACTTTTCGGCTACATTTTCACTGGATTCTACAAAGGGCTGTTGGGTTAATTTTAGCAGGTTTGCCTTTCTGTGACTTAACTAAGGACAAAAGTGCCGGTGCATCCAGTGCTGATTACAATTTTGCTGATGCTTATATCAGCATAGAAATGCAGGTGGTTGGTCTGTGAAACTTCTTTTGTTTTAGATCATTGACGGTCCTCTTGTAGTATGTGAACACCTCTGTGCAAAAATGAAATCTGTTTGGTTCACTTTGAAATGGCCATGCTCTCAAGTCAAAGAACATTGGCGACAAAGATGAAGCGATCACTCTGTCAGCTGGAGAAAAACCTAAAAAAAAAAAAAAAAGCTAATTCCCCCAGCAGTACCACAATTTTTGTACAATAACACACTTTGTGATGAAAAGACATGTGAGTCAGAGAGTTAAGTAATTACAGGATGTGGAATACGTGAAGATTCATTTCAAAATTTTGCAGAGATCATTTATTAATAAGTGCACTCAAAATTAGATTTATTTAAACTAAGGCTGCCGTTTGGACAACGTATTTGAGCATAAGCCCCCTTGCAGTTAATATCATTTGTTTCTGAGTACTGTGTTAGAATTGCCCCTTAGGAAATATATTTAAACCTGTGGCCTCAAATTTTATGACTTGGTCATAAAAACAATAGTCTTGTCAGTATGAGTGTATTAGTGTATATTTGGGCTGTGTCACATTTAAACTCCTTGAAATCAGACTTTCTTCGGCTAAGATTTAGTCATAATATCTTAATGGGTCAACTCTAAACCTGATGAAGCCTAGATCAAATTTGTTGTATGATATGAAAATAAAATTCAGTTGTTTGGCTTACATTTGTTCAAGACTGAAAAGGGTTCACAAGGAGGAATGCTTGTCCCTATCTGGACTATTTTAATTTTATGCTGTTACATTTTTCTCTCAGTGAATACTTGCAAGTTGAGATAAGGAACTTTTAATGGATAAGATTTCAAAGTATTCAAAGTATTTTTTTTTTTTTTGGCTTTGATTTTGACACTTTTGGAAAGAAGAGAGTCTCAAAGATCCTTCCTCCCAAATTTGGGTAATGGATACATTTTCCCTTGAGCCAGTCTATCTGCAGTGATCTAAATGGCAGGTAGGGAGCCACAATCTTGTGATTGTGAGCTACGTATTTTGTTTTCAATTGTTTTTCTGACCCCGGGGAAGCATCTTGATGGGTGACATCATTTGGGAGCAGGTTGGATGATTTTCAGAGAGTTGTAAAGTTGTTTTGGGGCAGGGTTGGAAGGTTTAGCATATCTTTTGTCCTTCGTTTTTACAAAAAAAGAAAATGCCTAAATATAGGCGGTTTTTCATTTCAAGGTAAGATCATGGAGGTGAGTTAAACAACAGTAGAAATAATTTTCTCATTAGTACAGATATTGGTATTGGTGTTTGTGTGTAGAGCAGCCTACTGGCTGTTGTTACTGATTTGACTAAAAACTGTAAAAAGCAAGCTCAGCAACCTTTACTTTCTGATTTGTACTTTAAACAATTTGGGTTAATCTTAAAGAAATGCATTTTCCTCGCCAAATGATAAGAAAACTCACATTGTGAATGGAACACTGTTTTCTATACTTTTCAGATTCTCTATGTACTTCATCATGGCAGTCATTAGTTTAAAGCAATGCAGATGTTTGGGGGGGCAAGAGAAGTAAAGGGGGCATAATAGCATAGGGATCAAAAGGGAGAGGTGGGCAAAGGATGAAATGAGCATCTTAATTGAGGATGCAAACTGCCAATTTCTTTTACATGGATGGAGCTTGTGTTATGACTTTGTGAAAGTTGTTTGGTCATTCTTGATAAAACATTCAGATTCTATGGACACCTATTTCTGGTAACTAGAAATAGAAGCATATGTGGTATAAAAAGTGGATTTAATGTTCCTACCACCCGCCTCACTACCTCCTGTCAGTCATGCAGCTGTATTGATTGGTCTCTAATTCAGCACAGCAAATATTTCTTTAAGCAACATATGGACTTACATGTAAAGATTTTACCCTCATAGATTGCACTGCAAAACATTGACTAATGTGATTTTAAAATATTGACTAAATATTAATGGTATGCAGTTCATCAGATGGCTAGTGCTTTGGTAGAATATCATAGATGGATGGACCCACTTGCGAACTTTGAAACTGGATCTTAACCAATATTCTTAATCAATAAAGGAGAATATTGAATATATTTGATATTCTCCATTATTGAATCTTAATCGTTTTGCAAAATGAGATATTGGACTCAAAGGACTCTGAATCTGAGTCAGCCAATTTTGCTTATGTTCCTATAAAAATATTTCTAGAGCTTTCAGAGAAGATACTCTTTTCTTAATTTGAAGTGCATTAGCTGGATGACCACTCTTTTCAAGAGCTTTCTACCTAACCCTAATCCTAACCCTAACCCTTCTCAAGAGTAATCATACAAAATGGCTAATATTGGCCATGTTCCAATTGACCCATGCAGGCTATTCATTACATTTTTCTGAGTTCCATATTTCAATAAAATAATCCAGGTCTGTTTGTTAAATTAGGTGTTGATTGCTTTCTCAATATTTTGCTACATTTTCATCCTCATCAAAAGTCTTTGAGAAACTCCCCAAGTCGAGGTCAGCAGCTAAGTAGTAGCACTCACCCAGTTTGACCTGAGCTTGTGGAAGTCTAGTGAAAAATACTGTAGGGCATCAATGATACTTTGAAAAATGTCTTTAATGTGAACAGGGAAAAGAGTGTAAAAGAATTAAGAAAACAAAAACTTTTTTGAATGCTCAGAAC